TATCTATATTTCAAGTTCCCTAAAGAATGTCTTCAAAACACAAAGATTTTACAGCCTGGGAAATGTTTATTTAATAATTTGAAAATTATTGGATTTCTCACTTGAGCTAGTTTTAAGTATTATATAGCCAAATCAGCTAGGCTCAAACAAGATTTCACTTCTCTATTGAATTCATGTACTCTTAGCTCAGCCAAGCACAAAACAGCTAATGCCGTCACGTTTGAAAAGCTTTTATGCTGAATTTGACACAAAAGCAATCACAAAGCAGACAAAAAAGGAATTTCTCTCCCAAAAGCTGAAAGGAGAAAAAAAAATAAATGAAAACTCTGAGCTTGGACAAATCTCTCTTGACACTGGAAAAGAAAGTTAAAAATGACCAAGAAATAATTTTTCCAAAGAGCCCATTGCCAAGTTTGGACCAATCTTAATAGCCTAGGGAACAGGTTGTGAACTCAACGAAGGTTCTGTCAAATGAAATAAATCCCACATTGGTCACTGCTGCCAGTTTTAGGTGACAACAGCATAGCATTTTTGCCTCTTATAAAAGTTCTAAATGGCACCATATCTCATAGGATTCCTCCATAGCCTACTGACAGAAATTTTGATTACCTTTGATGTCTTTCCCTAAAAAAAACTATCTCAAAAGAAAGAGATATTGTTGTATCAACTCCATAGAGAAGATCAAGTAAAGCTATGTGGTTAATAAAAAAAAAATAAAATAAAATAAAAAAAATAAAAAAACCCTAACAACTATCTTCTTTGTTTTTGTTTCAGGAACATTAAAGGATCTATAGCAAAGAAAGAAGTTATAAATATATGTAGGCATCTCTTAATGACTTTCTCATTAATTATTTATACCACAGGTCATCTGAAGTCTGTTCTTTTGCCAAATCAAGACTCTCTTGCTACTGTTTCCTTCCATATTGGCTGTGCTTTCAAGATAGGCTTTTCTCAGGTGCCACTGTAGATTTTATTTCTATTTTCTGAATGGGCTGTTATGATCCCCATTGATTTTGTATTCTTTTTCTTAACCAAAAAGAATATATTTTCTAAATAACAAACCAGTAAGGAAATAGTTAAAGAGGGAGCCTAATGACATAAAGAATTAAAATGATAATGATTAAAAGCTATATAGTAAAACTGCAAATATTTAAGCAATAATATTAAGTTTGAAAAATCAGAACTAAAATTTTTTACCTACATTATGGGGACAATTCAAATATATGCACACATAGGGCTAGCAGGTGGCATAGTGGTTATATCACTGGACACCTACATGGGTGACTGTGGTTCAAGTCCTGGATCCCGTGGCTTGAAAATTGTGCTGGGAACATGTGTGTGCGTACCCAAGATCCTGGGAAGAAAATGGAGGTGAAGGGATTTCAGTGTCGCCATTAGCCCCTGGGTGGATAATTTCTTACTTTCTTTGTCACTGTCTCTGTCTCTCTCTCTCTGGTGAGCACATGTGCCCTAAGGAAAAACTCTTTAAAATTTTTAAAATATATATATATAGATAAGGACTGAAAGAAATTACAGATAAAGAGTAATGATAGTGAATCATTAATGTATCATGATTGTTGGTGATTATTTTCATGATCAGGTATGGTGACTGTTTTAAATTTAAAGGAGTATAACAATGATGTTGGTGGCTACTTTTGAAACCATTTTATTGTTGCTTATTAGTGACAGGTAGGCTTGTTATCAGGGATGGTGCTGAAGGAAGGCTGGCTGTTGTAATCACAGCTCTCCCAACTTTGTGGACGCAGCTTGATGATTGCTTTACAATGCTCACAGGCCCTTTGCTAATCTCAGGCACACAGGCTCAGAAAGAATTTATGGAGCAATGAGATCCTGATCAGATTATCCAATGTCTCCTTGGTTTATTTTTACACTTTCTTTCTAAAAGAAAATTGCACATGATAAGCCAGCTAATGCCACTCCTTAGAGATAACGCCTTAGACACAATGACCAGATCTTCATTTAGTTTTCTCTCTAGCTTTAAGAAGAATTAAAAATTGTAGTTTCATTAGTTTATCATTGTAAAACATAAAATTAAGACTTTCCCCCAATATAGTATTTCATTGCTTTTATTTTTTACCTGTCGGCTTCTCAGTAATATAATATAAACTTGTTAATTAATATTGAATCTTCAGGAAAGTCATGGCATAAAAAAACACAGGAAAATAATGTCATGACTTTCTCGACAACCTAATAATTATAGTTGTCTATCTTTTATATCCTTATTGTGTTTTCTTTTTTGTTTACCCACAAAAACAATAGGTGGAAGAGAAAATCTATGAGGTCATCTACAAGAGTAATTCCTACATGTTCCCATCACAATTCTATTACTTTCAAAAGGAGTTATTGAAACTCTCCCACCTGCAGTCTTCATACCTGCAAACTGGGAGCAGTAAGTGTACTTTTCATACAGGGTTTTGAAAGGAAGAAATAAACCAATATGTATGATACATAGCAAGCACTCACAGAATGTTAGCATTAGCATTAGAATTACTTTTTAGTATCTATCATTCAGGAAATGGAGGGGAAAATTACAGCTTTGGTCATCTTTATTATGAAGTGACATTGAATATGCAATAATAAATATTAAATTTCTAAACACAGAACACAAAAATATCAGTTTCTACAGATGATGACTTAAGCTATTTTTGTGATGTAGTTTTAGACTGACCATTCAGAAGTTTCTTTTTTTTTTGGAGAGGTTTTTCGCTATAGGGCTATAGGGTGCGTGCGCTCGCCAGACAGACAGAGACAGACATAGAGACAGAAAGCGAGAAATCACCCCCCAGGGGGGATGGTCACGCCGCAATCCCTTCTCCTCCATTCTCCTCTCGGAATCTTGGGCACGCACACACACGCGCCCGGCGTGAGTTTTAAGCCACCGGGTCCGGGACGCGAACTGCAGTTGACTACGTGGGAGTCCAGTGACATAGCCATTACGCTAACTGCTGGTTCCCCAGAAGTTTATTTTCTAACTGATATATAATTGCATATTTTTGTAGTAGAATACTAATTATAATCCTGTTTTTTGTTCTATATGTTTTAAATATCTTATGTATTTCAACAATGCAATTGTTTTTTCTTCTTTCATATTTCTTTTTGCAGTTGTTATGTCTCTTATTTAAAGTTCTTTGCTCTTCTTCAAGGTATTTACCATAATCGTTCTTGTCATTACTTTAAGGACTCTCTTAGGTTAAGATTATTTCTAAATTGCTGAAAAAAAAAGCCCTAATTAAATCTATCACTAAATGCCTCTCATCTCTCCTTCCTCTCATCTAACTCAAAGGTCTTTTTTTCCCTGTTAATTCCCATTCACCAATTTACCACTTTGGTTCATAATCTGCTAGATTTATAGTCTCCCACACTTATGGGAAAAGAAGCAACATAAAAAAACTATAATAAGTACTTATAGATAAGGCCAGAGCCTTCAACAATAACAACATGGATTCTATATTTCACATAGATCAGAAATTAGGAAAACTATCACTAGAGATATTTAATTAATTGATGCTCATCCACTGGACATTGTTTTTAGTAGTACCATGTATCTTAAGAACCAAAAATCCTATTCATTTAGATTTTGCATCCAACAAGGCTAATGATAAGACTGTAAAATCCTAAGTGGCTTTCTAACACTCTTGTCATATAAAGATATTGTCCTCATAACAGCTCAGGCCCTTTGGCATTTGGCAAAGTAGCTATGAAGAGATTAACTGAAGTCTCTAATCCCATTTACTCTTACTAAAATGAAGTCAGAAATGAATTCTACTCAATAGGATGTGGTGGAAATGATACGTATTTCTAGGCCTGGCCATAAAACATCATGGATTGACTGACTACATTCTCTCTTCCTTTTCTTCAGTGACCTTGAGCAGTCATATGTTTGGGAAAGCTTGGATCTCCAAGTCACCATTTAGGAGAGAGCTCTTTAAAAGGGCTATGATATAACCAAGGAATTAATTTTACTTTATTAAGCTTTGAAATTTTCAGAATTATTTCTTAATGTAGTTTAGTATAGTTTGAGTAATTTAGAAATGGGAACTACTTCATCCAAGAATACTATATGGTTTTCTTCCTAGAAAATATAAAAAATTTGAGATTCAGATACTTATTTAGCAAAATGCCTTTTCCACCAGATTAAAAAAATCTCTAGAGGGTTTTGATCAAGTACTCAATCTGATAAATTTATCATGCTACTTCTCTGCTTAAAATTCCTTAAAGGTTACCTGTTATTTAGCAGTTAAGGACTTTCCAAATTGATCCATAAATACCAGGTTTGAAAGGATTAAATGCACATAATGCATCATGCATGGTGCTTGATTAAACATAGCTATTGAATTTTATTTTCTTTCCCTTTTTTTCTTTTATCCTGAGGAGTTCTATACTATTAAGTAGATAGATATTTAATGAAGTTTGAAGAAAAGAAGAAGCAAAAGAGAAAGAACAGAAAGAAGGGAGGAATTAGTTGGGCTAAAAGTTAAAAAATAAGAAGAGAAAGTGAAATTATGCTTCATTTCTGCCTGGTCCTTATACTCAACCCTTTACTTTTCATTTCAGGGCCTACAGTTAATAAAAGAAGTAGACTTGTTATTTTTTCTAGGAAGGAATTTAGCCCAAATGGTTAATTTCATGCTATGACAGAAGTATATATCGGGTAGCCAGATATATATTTTTTATGTTTCCCTATGCAAAAATGTGTCAATGATTCAATAATACATCAACTTTGAAGTGAGCTTAAAATATGGTGCAATACAAAATCTATCCCACTATATCCAGATTAAACAAAATTAATTTTAAAATTGATATCAGCCACAAGTTTTCCTCTACATTCTACTCTGACGTAGAAGTCTACTGTTTGCTTCTGCTTTAGTGTAATTTTACTTTGATAAATGTACATTAATAATCCTTAAGTGTTAGTCCATTGTATAATTTTATCCAGTATAACCAGTATTTTATTTTAAGACAATAGCTTTGATACTAACCTTGGTTTCTGTGATTTTCTTTTGGATTGTATCCATTGTATAGGGACCCTCCTTCCATGAATCAAGCTTGGCTCTAGCTTGTCCTATGACCTGCTCAGCTTCCTCCTTAGCTTCCAGCCATTGTGTTGAATCCTTTAGCATTTCATTCAACTGTTGCCTCCGGTTCTGAAGATGCTCCTGTACTTCATCCCACTGATTCTGAATTCTTTCAACTAAAATAAAAGGAAAAAGTAAATATAGAGTAGTACATTCTAGTCTGAATATTTAAAATTCAACATTCAAACATCATCTCACATTTATATTGCTTTCTCTTTTTTTAGAGTTTTTTGTCTTAGGGGGTGTGCACTTACTGGCAAGAAAGAGAGAGAGAGAAACAGACAGACAGACAGACACAGTAAGAAGGGGGACGGCCATACCGCAATCCCTTCTCCTCCCCTCTCCCTCACAATCTCTTCTCCTCCATTGTCCACCAGGGATCTTGAGACATATACACACATGCATGCGCATGTGCATACACACATACACACATGTCAGGAGGGATTTTTAAGCCACCAGGTCCAGGACTTGAGCCGCAGTTGATCAAGTGGGAGTCCAGTGACATAAACACTATACCATCTGCTGGTCCCCTATGTTACTTATTTTAAAAATGTTTATCATGTTAGAGTAGGATGATGGACAATAGTATTTTTTACCTTTGTTTGTGTGTGTGTGTGACAAATAGCAAACATGAGTTTTTGTTATAATTATTTTCCTGAAGGAAAATTAGAATATCAGTGTGTGAATGTGTTTGTGTGTGTGTGTTAGTGTGCATACAATTTTATACAATATATACAATTTTAT